CGGGAGATTTAAATTATTATTATACTTATTATTTTTAAGACAATTAAAACTAAGAGTGCCCTTAACCAAAAACAGTGAAATAAATGGAGATACCTACTCAAATTTTATATTATCATGATATTAAAGGATATAAATACAGCATTTATAATACTTTTACACCTTTTTATTCAAAGTCTTACACGCTAATATAAAATTTGACTATCTCCATTTATTTCACTATTTTTGGTTAAGGGCACTCTTAATTTTAATAGCCTGTGAAATAAAAACTTCTGCATGGACATTACCTTTCTTACCTTTGTCTGCTATTTTTTAATAAAAAAACAACTGTTTAGTTTGCACAAAAATAAAATTAACAATCAAAAATTTCTTAAAAAATGATCAAGCCTTGTACTACGCCGTGTGCCGGTTTTTGAACAAACAACAAACAACAAACAAAAGAATGAGGTTAGCGACGTCAATTTTCTAAACTACCCAAAAATCTAAATTAAATTCGCCAATTTGGGGAGAAAAATGTCCCGATTCACCAAAAATTCCCCATATGTTTATTTTAACAAAAAAAATAATTTTAATAAAAATACAATATTTATTATATATGTTAGAGGGATTAAAGTGTAAATTACCTCCTTGTTTTTTAATCCCTTCCTTAGTAATCATTAAATAATTTGAGGTCACTAAATTTTCTTTCAACTGAAGCATTTGCAAAGGGAAGCACAAGTAAAAAGCAGATTACAATTTTTAAGTTGGGAAAGATATATCGTCCCGCTCCGTTTTTAAAGCTAAAAATTTTACGCCATTTTCAATCAGCAATAAAATGTTGAAACTCCCCTTATTTTCGCCGCCTATATTGCTAATCCCCACAAAATTCCCAATCGGCTCCGGATTCTCCAACGTTTGGGGAATTCCTCACAAAATGGCAACGCTGGAGGTTAGCGTGTTCTTTCTGAATATGCTAAGACTAACGGACTAGTGTCGAAACACAGATAGCTAGATGGACGTATTTCGGCACTTGCGTCGATGCGCTACAGGAACATTTGCCTGCGCGTCGTATGTCTTCTGGCAGTCTTTTAATTTTTCTGTTTGTCTATGGTACTGACAGAGTACACAGAGGTATTGATTGGGTCGACCGGTCAACTGCGACAAATCTGTTATATCCCCTTCCACGTCTCTTAGCAATATGCACAGATTCTTGGTTTATTTCATACGTTTGGCAACGTGTTTACTGTCCTCTCTTTGTTCAGTACATTATAAACGCCATTGTACTCTTCTTACATACGGAAATCTCGACCCAAGACTAACCTTTGCTAGCCCTTAGTATAGTCGTACATATAAAACATACATGATCATTGTCATTGTTAGTGGTATATCAGATTTAAAATAAAAATGCTTTGTTTATTAGAGTTTTCCTTTGGTTTTTCAAATATATTCCTGTTATTTCAAGCATTTCTCTTAATATTTTGAAGTGCAATGCTTAATGATTTGTTATGTTACTTTGTTTAAAGCTTGAGTCGATTTTAATCGAATAGGATCAGTACCAACAATTTAAATGAAATAAATATCAAATTTATCAGTAAAATAACTTTATTCCGGAATTAATCTTTTGGTAGTATGTAGGTAAATACAATCTTATTAAATGTCCTCCAAAATAAAAAATGATAGATACAAGGGTATCCCGGTGAATTTTGTCTAGTGAATGGTTTTTGTAATGTACTGGAATTGATCTGTCTTTATTAGATTCCTTCAAAGGTCACAGAGATTCTAAAAAAAGAAAGCAACGTTTAGCTAAATAAATCACATACTTTTCTCAATCTTAAAACTGGAGTTAACCTGAAACAGACAATCTTTCTATACAGAGTATACAGGATTTGCAGGTTTTCTTAATCGTATAATTCCAAAAAAACAGTATTTTTATGTTCCTAACGCCATGATAGATGAGAAAACCCTAAATGACCCTTTTATGACCCTATATAACTGTTTTTGCATCTTTTTAACTCGAATACAGTGATTATACTAAAAATACAAAAAAAAATATTTGAGGCTAAAGTGCTACACGACATCAAACTGATCACACTGTTTGAAAAAAACAGTTTTAAACAAAAATTACACGTTTTGGCGTAAGTTTTAAACCTCCAGCCGTGAATTTTGCCTTATAAATCATTCATAACATTAGAAGCAAGGGCTTTTTATCTTTTTAAGCTTACACACAACTTGAGGGCGAAGTGGCTGCTTTAAAAATTTCATAGATGGCGTGGTGCCGGAATTTTTCAGGCTTTGCCATAAATCCATCCTAAAATTTAACAGATTACTTGGCAAATTTGATTTTTAGTTCTCGACACGGCAGAAAATTTACGTCGCCTTTTCGAAGGTTATTTTGTGGACTAAATTTTCTCGAAAATAAAGACATAATTTAAAATTCCGTTACAATACGGAAATAGATTGAAATTTTGTGATCACAGTGATATATAATTTATATGTTTTTGTAACAAATTGCTCGATGCTTATTGGCAAATGCTGAAGCTCTGCAAACCTTAATCAAGCCTTGATCAAAGCACGTGTGTTTGGAATTTTGGGTGTGGTTTTACACGACACGATCGGGCTCAACCTTAGGCAGATTTCTGAAAATAATATGTATTTCCAAAGACATTATAGGAATAGATCGAACATCTCATTCATAAATACTCGTTGGTAGTGTATCAAACATTCCAATGTGTCAATCAAGGACAGAAGAGATAGAGAAGTCTAAAATTTCCGACCCCGGCAACTAGGCGCATTTGGATTGTTCTGATGGCCAGTGACGTATCGTTTTTTGGAACAAATTTAATTAGTAAAGTAAAAGTAAATTAATTAGTAAAATTTTTACTCCATATTAATATACTACATTAACACTTTTTCGTCAGATGAGTTTTGTTATAAGGTCTAATATAATAATATAATTAATATCCCACATATACCTATGTTGAAACGTTAGTAGGTGGTTTTCGAAAATCGCTCCAACGTCGATTTTCAATTTAAACTTTCAGTTACTTCTATATAAACTTTCAGTTACTTTTGAAGATTTACAGGGTGACTCGGGCTTCCGAAACAGTTCTATATTAGGTTTGTGGTTGGTGACTTTTCTTTCAATTTTTTTTTCAGAATATGGAGGCAATGGTAAAGCACATTTTAGACATTTTGGTAAAGATAGGTGGCCGGAACATATTTTCAAACTAAAGTTGTAGATTTGCCATTAAATTTCCATTCCAGAAATACCTAGAGTTGCCACCTGTCCTTTTGAAAAGGACAGTCCTTTTGGAATAACTTGTCCTTTTGACTTTTTTGACTTAAAAGTCATTTTATTTTCGTATTTTCCCTGAGAAAATTACCTACAGCAAACAGAAATATTCTTTTCGTCCAAATTTAATTAGAAATGTTATAAAACTTATAAATAGATTTTTCTTGTTTAGAATAGGCAACATTATTTAGAACTTCCCGTTTAATCTGAAATGATAGTTTAGGTTTTAGTTTTACCTTTTTTTGATCTTAAAAGAACTTCAAAATTAGTAATTAGTAACGATTTAGTTAGTTCGCAATCAATAGCTTCCTGTGAAGTACTGTGTAATAGTTGTTTAATATTGTATTATTAATAACTTCCTATACCTAAAATCAATATTTAATGAGAAAATTGTTTTTTTGAAAATATAAGACAAGATTTGACTCTTTCGGTCTTCTTCTTGTATTATGATGGGTCTGATACGAGGCAATTACCTTTTAGTCTCTCAATAGAAGGCATTTATCATTAAAAGTATCAAATCTGTGTGCTACAGTATGGGATTTCTGTCGCATAATAATGAATATTACGTTTGCTTCATCTACGTTACCGTAGATGGAGCTCAAGGCTTGGTACGGTTTGTATAAATAAACAAAATACAAGAAGCAAAAATTTATTAAGGCCTAACCCCTACATATATGCTTATTCTCTGCATTAAGTTCATCAGACTGAAGGGGAACAGCCATTCGATGACCGGTTTCGGAGATTTATCTCCATCGTCACGCCGACTTTGCTGTAACCCTCAATCCGACAAACGAAAAGCAGAAAATAGCATTTGAGTACAAAAGGTACTACTATGGCGAGTGCTAGATGGCGAGAGCGGCTAGTAGTAATAGGTAAAAAGCTTTTTTGGAAGCCTGGGTCACTCTGTATATAAGTATGTATAAAACTAATAGCCTAAGAATTATTTACAGTTCGTTCCAGTCTAAAAAAAAGGTAAACACGTTGGTAAATCTCTGTCGTACCATACTGAATTCGCAGATTCAAAAGTACGTTAAACAAAAACAAAAACCACCGAAAAACACTGAAAAGTTCACTTTCGTCTTGATTCCGACTTCAAACGCACCGCAAGCTAAACGTAGTACGCTATAACGAAACCAATGGTCGTCGCGAGGGGCGGTGGGACGGACGGCTCATTTCATTCTGGAAAACTAGCAGCGACGTTGCCAATAGTTCTAGACGTTTCAGCACATTAAACAGTAAATATGTCCTTTAATAGTAACGCATATATCCTCTGGTTAATAACATATTATTACCCTTGCTTCTTTAAAAACAAACTATTAATTTTATTAAGAAATTGAGATTTATTGATATTCGGTGAAGGTTTTAAAGTCACCTTTTCTGCAAATCAAACTGAGTAGATAGGCGCAAATTTGAGATGTGGCAATGTCGCCTTCTCTATCTCAGTTGGTTTTTACAGTACGTAGTCAACCTCCCATTGTTTGATCGGGATAAAATGTTTAATGTGATATGTGTTCTTACTAAATCTATGTGTATTTCCTTCGGCCACATACCCGCTTTATCCGATCTGTGAGAGCGACCTGAAAGTACAGCGTAATAGACTCTTAATCTTAAGCAAATTGTCATTTAAATATTTTCTTCAGATATATTGCAATAAAAATGTATTAAAGCTTGAAAATCTGAGAATCTGGGAAGGTTAAAGCAACATTTTTTATATTTCTTTCTTTCTTTGCAGAACCAGCTATAGTTTTGGACGTATCAGAATCAGGAGACAGCTTCAATGAGTTGGGAGCATCGTTTCCCCCATTGGAGAGCCCCCCAGTGCATTTCGCAACTGAAAATAATACTGTCATAACCTCACAAACTGGATCGACAGCATTGATTCCATGCATCATCAATAACATAGGAGATGGAACGGTGAGCATAGATTTTTTTTACATTTTTTTCTTTATTTTTTTTAAAGTCTTTTAACTAGTGTTCTAGTTGCTGATAACTATTATCGTCTCAGTTTGAATAGTCGAATTCCAAACTTATACATACGTATTCTAATAATTACTTTATCGTTGAATTGCTAAGTTTTTTTTTGTAAAATTTCTTTTATTTAAAAAATCGTACATTCTTATTATTGGCCTGTGATTATTTGTTTTTCTGTATCAATAATTCTTAATAACATAATTAACAAACAGAATTAAAAAAATCATATACGTCACTTGTTCCCCAAGTAGCATTTTCACGACTTGCGACCACATGTTTACTAAACACAACGTTGGATTAGTTACAAAAAATAGTTAGCTCCCTACCTTGGGTATTAAAATAAATTTAAACGTTTTTATAACGTTGTGCCGACGTTGGACTAGTACTACAGCAAAGTAGAAGCTTCTGCGACGTCGAATAAACGTTGTCTTGTAACCTTTTTTGCTTAAGTGATCTTTAGGTGATTCGGACAACGTAGTTACAACGTTGGACAATATGTATATTTTTTCCCTCGGTAGTTTTATACAGGTACCGACAAAAAGTTATTACGCTTCAAAACAGTTTAAACATATGTAGATGGCGCCCTCTACCAGTAGTCATATTGACATCAAAATCAAATTTATCACGTCAAAAAACTCCCAGACACCAATTTTCATCTAAATATTGACGTTACTTCAGAAATTATTTGGAAAAAATCGAAATAAAAATGAAATTTCTACACCCTGTAGCTCCGAAACTTGTAGCGTTTTTTAAACAACTACCACTGCGAACGGCAGCTTTTCATCGGAGAGCAGTCGTGGATAAGGTATTTCACTGGAAAGAAAACTAATTAAGAACAATAAACAAAAAACATATACAGATGAAAAGAAAACACAGTTGTATATTACTTAAAACTAATGACTATATTTATTCATTATGAATTCTGATGGTAAATAGCATACAATTTTAATAATTATTATAGTGGGTATTTGTTGACTGTAAACTATGTATGTAAATTTTTTGTATTAAATATGTTCTATCCAAAGACTATGAAAAAATACAATGCGTGTAACGTTATAGAAAATATAAAAAAGTAGCATTACTTTATTTAAATTGTTAAATTTTATGCGGTGTTAAATCTGATATGTTGCAACCTGTAGATTCTAGAATCTATGTCTCGTTATTCATCTGTTAATATAGCGCAATAATAATATCTATAGAAAGTAATACTATTACAAGGCGTAATATAATGAAACCTAAAATCTAAATCACATTGTAACTACTGAATCGACATAAATGTTCTTAATAATCTAACCACTAAATATAGTCCGTACGATATTATTTAAAATGTACGTTACTGTTTAAGACTGAAAATCTAGAAAATCTAAAACATAAAAACTAGAACGTAAATCTACACTTAGCTGTTCTTTATGTAATCTTGCTTCAAACAGTAGCAGCGTGAGGTGGTCTCGCATCTCTGTACTGTCTGTCGGCGATCCTGTTGGTCAAAACAACAAAAGGGGCCAGATTGAGGACACCATGAATCCTTACAGCCGTAGCTACTGACTAGGCTTAGAAATGGGAGTGAAGCAGCATGGGACTCAAGCTGCATCCACGCTGTGGCACTTAGATGTAAAAAAATCGTTCTTACTGGGGACACTCGTCCACAGGACATCTGTACATAAGATAATGTCTGTACATAAGGCACTACCCGTACCTTGGACGCAGTCCGTACCTTGGACGCAGTCCGTACCTTGGACACAGTCCGTAACTTGGAAATAGTCCGTACCTTGGACACAGTCCGTACCCTGGACACAGTCCGTACCTTGGACACAGTCCGTACCTTGGACGCAGTCCATACCTTGGACCCTAAAAATATGAAACTCTTGTTTAAAACCAAACAAGGTCTAATAAACAAAATAAACCTACCTCGAAATACTTCCGAGGGCTCAATAAATAATAAACAACATGTCCTTTCTTCCATGTGACATTCTGGAGGACAAAAGAAAAGGGACGCCAACGTGCCAGCAAAATACAAATACAAGTTGGGACATCCGTAACTCTACCCTAAAAATATTCAATAATAATATCGAATCGATAAAAGGTAATAACTATCTTTACCTGTAGCCTCGAAATAGCAGCTGATTCAAATTATACAGCAAGATTTAAATAATCACTATTTCTAAAAGCTGGGATACAACAGAGCGTCAAAACAAAGTGAGGTTAAGCACGGAGAGTTGACAGAAGCGATGTTGACAGCGCGCGCCTCCACAGAATAGTAACAGGGTTGTGTCGAACGATAACAGGGTTGGCGACTAGAGAACGTAAAAATTACGCGTCAAATAAACTATCCGGCCTGAACGAGAGGGAATCCGGTGATGATAGGCCAGACATCATATATTATATATAAAAAAAATGATGTAACGAACTAAAAACGTTACAAACTAAGCATTTTAGGACATACATTTATACGAACTTTTTTACCTATTTTTATCTGCAGCCTGTATACTTCCAATCTTCTCTTGTATTAACTGTAATGGAATCTGATGACAATTTCATTCAAATGCGACTTCCTGCAGGAAAACCTTTAAAACATGAATTAAACCTACCTAGTACATCACTCGTTTACGCTAAAATCCTGCCAGGACAAGGCACTATTTCCCGTCAAATCTTTATTATAAACAATTTCTCCATTTCCGTGAGCTTAAAGCTCTCGGCAGCATTACCATATTAATTTAAATGGAAATAATTACAGCTTTCCGCCATAGCCAGGCTACTGCTGCTTTATATACATATATTTCTCGATAAAAAGACGGCAGGATATATGGAAAACGATGTTTTATCCTGTTATGCGCGCAGGAAAGAGATATACGGCAGGATTTAAACTTATATTTATATAACCGAAGGTGTTTACAGTGTTGCCGTAATAAATTTTAAGATGAAGTTCTTCGCGAAGAGTGAAATAAATTTATCACGGCGCGGGTTTAAATTTATTTATTTCCCTGTTTTTTCTATAAGGTTTAAAGTGTTCTGTTTAGTTAAGCTACTTTAGAAAGCTCTAGTATACAAGCTTTGTATACAGCAGTGGCGTAGCGTTATTAAATTTTTTTGTGGTGCTTAACCGAAAAAAAAACTTCAATATAAACCAACTGTATTCCGAAAACTTCGGCAGCGTATTCTGCAGATAAAAATAAGTACAAAAGTTTGTATAAATATACTATGTCCTAAAATACTTAGTTTCGGAGATACAGGGTGTAGAAGTTTTATTTTTATTTCGATTTTTTCCAAAAAATCAAATTTCTCATGGCAAAAAACTCCCAAACACCAATTTTCATCCAAATATTGACGTTACTTCATAAACTTCTACACCCTGTATCTCCGAAACTAAGCACTTTAGGACATACATTTATACAAACTTTTTTACTTATTTTTATGTGCAGAATATGCTGCCGAAGTGTCCGGAATACAGTTCAGACCACCCTGTATATGTTCTTCTAGTGTTTTCATTGTTGTAAATATTAGAATTAATATAAATTAATATACACACACCGGAAAAGTCTAGGGATATTACAATTTTATCCAGCCATCGTCAGTAATTTTATTATTTGCATTTCTGATATAATAAAATTAAAATAAACAAATACCGTATGATCGAAAAAAAACGGCGTCCAGTTGGCTTGGAAATGACGATCGATGACATTTCCCATATAATTTTACATATAAAATGACAGCGATCTTCATTTCATAGCCATCGTTGACGCCGTTCTTATTCGATCATACGGTAGTTTACAGGACGTATTGGAAATAAAAATACGAAATTTACCGAATTTTTCAAATTTACCTGGATTTTTATTGAACTAAAAAAAATACACACATTTTTTTTATTCTGATCTGTGAATTAAAAAAAAAGATAAAACCATTTTTGCTTAATAAAGGGTATGGCCTCCTCTACTGTTCATTACAGCCCTACATCGTCTCTCCATGCTCCTGATCAGGTTGTCGATCTCTTCTTGAGGTACAGCCTGCCACGCTGTATTCACGGCCCGAACCAGATCCCTACGAGTTTTACGAGGCATACCCATTCTCAAAATTCTTCTTTGGACCGCGTCCCATACGTGCTCGACGGGGTTGAAGTCAGGAGATTGTGCCGGCCAGGGTAAGATGTTTAATCGATGAGCATTGATAAACTCACCACTCTGGCTGTATGAGGCCGTGTATTGTCATGCATGAGAAGTTTTTCCCAAAATCATTGGCATATGGTAACACGACAGGCTCAAGAATTAAATCACGATATGTGATTCCTGTTAGAAACCTTTCAAGAAAAACGAGATCGGTTTTTCGCCCTAACTGGACTCCTCCCCAGACCATAACTGTTCCATCTTGATAAGGGTGCACTTCCCGAACATGATCCAACCGAATAAGATTTCCAGGTTCTCTCCATAGCCTAAGCCTTCTCGAATCCGGATGAATTCCAAAGCGTCACTCAGCCGTGAAAAGAACATTGGCCCATTGTTCATTCGACCACTGAACATGATCATGAGCCCACAAATATCGTACCTCTCGATTTCCTCTCGTTAAGGGTTGAGCTCTCCAGGGGCGTCTGCTTCTTAAGTTGACCTCTCTTAATCTATTGCGAGCTGTGTCAGGACTAACGGTTACATTATGTGTTTCCTGGAGAATTAAACTAAGCTCTGGTGCTGTAAGAGTCGGTCGGCGTCGAGCATTTAATTGTAAAAAATGATCTTGCTGAGGGGTAGTAATGCGATGTCGCCCTGCGTGCCTTTCAGCAACATCACCACTTTCACGGTAGCGTGCACTTAATCGCGATATTACACTTTGCGTTGTATCTAATGCTCTAGCTACGTCGATTTGCCGCATTCCAGCTTCGAGCATATCCATGGCCCTTAGCATTTCGTCTCTGTTAAGATGTCTACGCTCCATAATGTCGTTTAATACTAAACAGAGTTATTTGAATGAATTCTGGCCAGTTACCATAAAAACATACCCAGTACAGGTTAAATTCGAACAATTGATGCTAGGTGCTTTTTATACATTTGACAAAAAATGCACAAACACTTCTGCAAATATCCCAAATTTAGAAATAATTAGTGTGACTACTTCGTTTCAATCGAAGTAGAAAGAATCGGCCTACAAATATGTGGTTGTTTATTCAAAACATTTATTTTTAACTTTAATAAAATGATATCCCTAGATTTTTCCGGTGTGTGTATATATACAATGAGTATTATATTAAAATTTCCGCCTGTTTCATTGTTCCCAATAAAATGTTCTGCCTTGTCACGTGATTTCCTATTAGAAAATTAGCTTTCCCAATAATAACCTTAGCAGAAAACGCTTTAAGAAAATTGAATTTCGTAATACTAAACCAGATTTTCCTAGAGTGGAACCTAAACTTTATTAGCTGTCGTTAATCAGGAACGATTAAGAAAAAATAAAGAATTTTTCTTTAGAAAAATTTCCTTCAGTTTGAATTTAAGTTGTGTATTAGTATTTACAAAAAAAACTTTTGGTTTTTATGTTCTTCGACCCTTTTTAACTTAAGTTTTTAACGATATTGAGTGAAGTTTATTTAGGAAAGTTTTAAGTACGGAATTTATAATTAATTGGAATAACTTTGACGATTATATTTATAATTAAAAAAGTCAATAAGAGTTTTTTCAAGAGAATAAAAATAAAGTAATTAGGCAATTACTTGGTAAAGTATTAAACAGTAATAATTTGTTTTTCTTTTTTTAATTTAAAATGATTAGTTTTGTTTATTTATCAACTGTGTTAATTAATATACAATTACCCTGGATTATTCACCAGAATAAACAGGTAAATTTTTGGTTTAAATAAAATATAGGATTTACGTTGTGTCTTTTGTACTTATCTAAAGGGCACACAACCAAGAACAAAATTACAAAAATTTAAAGAGATATAGGTTATAGAGATATACGTGGTTTCTAAAAATTATAATAATGTTTGTTTTATGTTGCTCACTTGTTATCTCTTTCTTATCATTGTCACAAACTCAGAAATTACTCGCAACATTGTCTCATTGTCTGGACCCGGCATAATATAACAGAATTTTCAGAGAGAGAAAAAATTTAACACAAAATTAAAACAACGATATATGAAAACATATGTTTAAGCTTACACGAGTTGTATTTTGAGAAACATTTATTTTTCCTGTAATAATGCTCTTGGTAATTACATAAAATATATATTATTTTATATTCTGATGTGATACTCAATTAAAAAAAAATAATTATCTGATAGATACTGACTCCACGAACACTTTTTGACACTATTAATCGCACCATTGACCAGTTTTATTTGTCACTTTTATTACATTTTGAAGTGCATACTTAAACTACAGGCTTAATAATTGGCAATTTATATAGTTTATTATCGTTAATGTTGAAAATTTCTCATTAACTATGTTATTAATACTTCCTTCCTATGTTTATCAAGGCACTAATTAGTTAATTAACTTTGTTGGCGTTATTGTTTTGTTGAATTATTCATTTGAATGTATTTTGTTATTCTTTGTGAGTATATAAATGAACTGCTATACAGGGTGGTCCGAATTGTATTCCGGAAACTTCGGCACTGTATTCTGCAGATAAAAATAGATACAAAAGTTCGTATAAATGTATGCCCTAAAATGTTTCATTTTTATTTCGAGTTTGTCCAAATAATTTCTGAAGTAACGTCAATATATGGATGAAAATTGGTATCTGTGAGTTTTTTGACATGAGAAATTTGATTTTAATGTCAATATAACTCCTACTTGTAGAGGGCGCCACCTACATATTTCTAATTACTTTGAGGACTAATAACTTTCCGTCCCTACCTATATAACACTATTGAAAAATATACAATACAAATCATACAATTCAAAAAAAATTTAAGTCATTATATTATTATTATTTATTAGTCAAACAGAACATGGACAATTGCAGAACACAAAAAAAGCGTATGTTTTTATGCGAAAAGAGGTTGTGTAATAGAGAGTGCATTAAAGTAATTAGTTTATCCCCTCAAATAACTAACCCCCTTTTCCTCTAGAGGGCTCTCGGTAAACAGGTCATTATCACGTGGCCAAGACGTGATCCAAAAAGAGATTCTGGAACGTTCTAAAGCCTGGAACGAGGCAACAAGACTATCGCTCGCCGCAACTAAACGTTGTAAAGTTTTAATCGCTTCTGCAAGTTTGCCTCGTGAAATTCTTAATAGAAAAAAAATAATTAAGCTTTCCCCCGAGGAAAAAATATTAATTAATTTTTTATCTGAAATGCACCGGCTATGTCCTTAAATAAAAATAGTTTAGAAAACAAATTTCGAATTTTATAAATAACTACCGGATAAACTAAAAAAAAAGATGTTATAGTAGGCGTTTAAATGGCAGTTGATGATAGTTTTGTCGAGGTCGATCACTATATGTTTTTGAAGTGAAACGTGCAAACACCAAAAAAGTTAAAACCAAGAAAAGCTTGATGAACTGAGAAAAACTTGAAGATATCTCTTCAAGTTTTCGTAGAAAATGAATTTGTTTGTAATTTAGACCTCATTTATCAATATACCCATGGAATATTGACATTTTCTAGAAGGGTACAAACTCCTGTAATGGTACAAACCTTAAGAAACACTGTTTTGTCTCTTTCTGGCTTTAAAAAGAGACATATTCTCTGACTTTTATTAATTTTATTAGAGTAAAAAATGAGTGAAAGAAATAGAAAAATATTTAACTTCTATCAAAGCTTGTTATTTATCAAGAGTTCGTGATGAATTATTAATAGCAAAAAATACAAAGGGAGTACGCGTGTAATACCAGTTCAAACAGTAGTTAAAAATAGAACAAGACAACGAATGGCCCGTGTTGATAAAATTATTTTTCAGAAATACCCTGGGAATTGTTATTTTTAATTAAAAGAAATATAAAAAGAAGTAAAAAGAATACCCTTTGAGAGAAATTAAAATTATACAGAAATAACAAAAACAAAGACGTTTGTTAACAGAAAATAAAAACGCAGGAAGTTTTGATATTTTTTTAAATGAAAAACAATTACTAATATAAATTAGATTTTTAATTGTTTCAATTTTAGTTTTTGAGGTTGTTTTCAAGCGGAAAATCTTTCTTAAGCCAAAATAATGTTTATAATTTGTGTTATACCTGTGAATATACAGGGTCTATTGTGGGTTAAATATTTAAAGGAAACATGTGAATTAGAAAATTATAAAAAACTATTTTTATGATTTAATTTTTTCTGTTGTTATATAATATTTATGTAATATTTTTAAATCAGTCTTATTTTCAGGTGTCCTGGATTCGGAAAATGCAAAATGGCGGTCCCCATTTGCTGACAGTGGGCCTGGCTACGTACAGCAGCGATGACAGATTTCAAGCCGTTCATTTACAACGCTCAGATGTAAGTAGTTATAAATTTACTACGTAATAATTAATGTTATTCATTTAAAACCATATGAATTTTTTGTTAGAAAAAATTGATTATTTTCTTATTAGCCAAATTGCTGAAAATACACACACCGGAAAAGTCTAGGGATATTACAATTTTATCCAGCCATCGTCAGTAATTTTATTATTTGCATTTCTGATATGATAATTGGAAATAAAAATGCGAAATTTATCGAACTTTTCAAATTTACCTTGATTTTTATTGAACTCAAAAAAATACACACATTTTTTTTATTCTAAACTGTGAATTAAAAAAAAAGATAAAACCATTTTTACTTAATGAAGGGTATGGCCTCCTCTACTGTTCATTACAGCCCTACATCGTCTCTCCATGCTCCTGATCAGGTTGTCGATCTCTTCTTGAGGTGCAGCCTGCCACGCTGCATTCACGGCCGGAACCAGATCCCTACGAGTTTCACGAGGCACACCCATTCTCAAAATTCTTCTTTGGACCGCGTCCCATACGTGCTCGATGGGGTTGAGGTCAGGAGATTGTGCCGGCCAGGGTAAGATGTTTAATTGATGAGCATTGATAAACTCACTTACCACTCTGGCTGTGTGAGGCCGTGCATTGTCATGCATGAGAATGAAGTTTCTCCCAAAGTCATTGGCATATGGTAACACGACAGGCTCAAGAATTAAATCACGATATGTGATTCCTGTTAGAAACCTTTCAAGAAAAACCAGATCGGTTTTTCGGCGTAACTGGACTCCTCCCCAGACCATAACTGTTCCACCTTGATAAGGGCGCACTTCCTGAACATGATCCAACCGAATAAGATTTCCTGGTTCTCTCCATACCCTAAGCCTTCTCGAATCCGGATGAATTCCAAAGCGTGACTCATCCGTGAAGAGAACACTGGTCCATTGTTCATTAGACCACTGAACATGATCTTGAGCCAACAAATATCGTACCTCTCGATTTCCTCTCGTTAAGGGTTGAGCTCTCCAGGGGCGTCTGCTTCTTAAGTTAACCTATCTTAATCTATTGCGAACAGTGTCAGGACTAACGGTTAGATTATGTGTTTTCTGGAGAATTAAACTAAGCTCTGGTGCTGTAAGAGTCGGTCGACGTCGAGCATTTAATTGTAAAAAATGATCTTGCTGAGGGGTAGTAATGCGATGTCGCCCTGTGTGCCTTTCAGCAACATCACCACTTTCACGGTAGCGTGCACTTAATCGCGATATTACACTTTGCGTTGTATCTAATGCTCTAGCTACGTCGATTTGGCGCATTCCAGCTTCGAGCATACTTATGGCCCTTAGCATTTCGTCTCTGTTAAGATGTCTACGCTCCTTAATGTCGTTTAATACTAAACAGAGTTATTTGAATGAATTCTGGTCAATTATCATAAAAACATAGCCAGTACATGTTAAATTCGAACAAGTAATGCTAGGTGCTTTTTATACATTTGACAAAAAATGCACAAACACTTCTGCAAATATCCCAAATTTAGAAATAACTAGTGTGACTACTTCGTTTCAATCGAAGTAGAAAGAATAGGCCTACAAATATGTGGTTGTTTATTCAAAATATTTATTTTTAACTTTAATAAAATGATATCCCTAGATTTTCCCGGTGTGTGTATTAATCATTACCGTCATCTTCATTTCTAGCTTATTGAACCATTTCCAATTATGGTGTCATCATGCCAACTTAATTCTTCTGTTGATTCTTTTTGTTTTGAATGTCTACTAGATCGTTGTACAGTACTTTTTTTTCTAAATTCATTTTCAGATCTACTTTATTGCTGGTTATATTTAGTTCTTTGATTTGGTCTTGTAGTTCTTCAGGATAATTGGCAATTAGGACCATGTCATCAACAAATCTTACATGCTTATATATATTCTCCATCTACTATTCTGCACTAAAAATATTAATAATAATAAACACTAGTCTCTTCTGAAGCTGGAAAATGCGGTCAAATTGTGTCGCACAACACGTACCCCAGAATGGAAGGGCATACCTGAGGTGCGACTCAAAAAGTGCATAATAAACGGTTCTAGCCACTGACAAGTTAAGCTCCTTAGATACAGATTTTAATGCAAAACAGGCAAAACTCAATTTTTTTGACAAAGCGTCGATATGCATGTCCCATTTCAGAGAATTGTCTACAACAAGCCCTAAGAATTTTACAGATTTTACGACGTCAATGGTGGTGTTGTTAAGTACAAAAGGCTGCAGCGAGTTTTTATACGACAAAGCTTTAGTTTTAGAAATGTTGAGACTCAGGAGGCTCGAATCGCACCAATCACACTTTTTTTTCAAAAATATCTATTACAATAAATCATAAAACTAATTGCCCTTTGGCCTTTTGGTACAGGCAAATAAAAGGCCGAAATCGATAAATTACGCTGCTGGCCACATCGGACGTTTCGAATAAATCGCGATTACACGGTCAGAGTGTCACCGGATACCCAAAAGGGCCGTAAAAATATCGCTTTCCTATAAATATTCAGCGCGAAATTCAAACATCCCATCGGTTCAAAAACGCCCTCTATATTTCACTGGTTCTTATCTAAGGTTTAGGAACCGCTCAAATACCCTCAATGCGAAAATATGTCATTATTTTTTGACATATAACTAGTGAATGTATAGTTCATGCGATCTCAGTTGGAACAGCAAAATAAACTCTGTCTGAGGCGTCTGCTTTAAGGTTGTATCCATTTCGTATCCGTTTTTTATTGTATTCACGCTATACGTAATCTTCCGTTCCGTATCAGTTCCGTACTTTTTATTGTACCATTTATATCATTACGAAAGTTTTATTTTAAAAATTTGTATCTTTTGAATAGGATTCATCTGTCCAAAAAAATCCTTTATGGGTATTTCGCCACTGCACAGCAAGGAAATCTACAAAATAAAATAATTATTCCTTGGAAACACTTCTGCGTTAAACCTAAACGGACGCTGCTTGTCAAAAGTTATGTTTATAGTAATACAAATTTGCCTAATAAAGAAAAAAAATGCTTAACGTTTCGGAATGTTATCTCTTTCCGTCGTCGGAAGCAAAAAAAATACACAGAATAAAGAAAAAAACTATTTAAAATTTTTAAATTCAACTATTCGAGAACACTTCTCTGATCTTAGATTTGTGAAAATCTCCCTTTCTTAAAGAATCTTTATGTTCTTTAATTCTGACATTTAAGGGTCTAGATGTTTTACCAATCTAAAATTTATCGCATTCACAGGGTATCTGGTATATTACATTTTTTGTTTGTTGGTCTGTATTCATTGGTTTAGTATGTGATAAAATGGATCTAAGTGTGTTTACCCAGTATATTATTGCATTTTTGGCTTCCTTTCAGATCACTTTACATAATCTTAAGATATGAGTAAATACACACACCGGAAAAATCTAGGGAGATCATTTTATTAAAGTTAAAAATAAATGTTTTGAATAAACAACCACATATTTGTAGGCCGATTCTTTCTACTTCGATTGAAACGAAGTAGTCACACTAGTTATTTCTAAATTTGGGATATTTGCAGAAGTGTTTGTGCATTTTTTGTCAAATGTATAAAAAGCACCTAGCATCAATTGTTCGAATTTAACATGTACTGGCTATGTTTTTATGATAACTGGCCAGAATTCATTCAAATAACTCTGTTTAGTATTAAACGACATTATGGAGCGTAAACATCTTAACAGAGACACAATGCTAAGGGCCATGGGTATGCTCGAAGCTGGAATGCGCCAAATCGACGTAGAAAAAGCATTAAATACAACGCAAAGTGTAATATCGCGATTAAGTGCACGCTACCGTGAAAGTGGTGTTGTTACTGAAAGGCACACAGGGCGACATCGCATTACTACCCCTCAGCAAGGTCATTTTTTACAATTAAATGCTCGACGCCGACCGACTCTTACAGCACCAGAGCTTAGTTTAATTCTCCAGGAAACACATAATGTAACCGTTAGTCCTGACACTGTTCGCAATAGATTAAGAGAGGTCAACTTAAGAAGCAGACGCCCCTGGAGAGCTCAACCCTTAACGAGAGGAAATCGAGAGGTACGCTATTTGTGGGCTCAAGATCATGTTCAGTGGTCGAATGAACAATGGGCCAATGTTCTCTTCACGGATGAGTCACGCTTTGGAATTCATCCGGATTCGAGAAGGCTTAGGGTATGGAGAGAACCAGGAAATCTTATTCGGTTGGATCATGTTCAGGAAGTGCACCCTTATCAAGGTGGAACAGTTATGGTCTGGGAAGGAGTCCAGTTAGGCCGAAAAACCGATCTCGTTTTTCTTGAAAGGTTTCTAACAGGAATCATTTAATTCTTGAGCCTGTCGTGTTACCATATGCCAATGATTATGGGAGAAACTTCATTCTCATGCAAGATGTGTTCCATTTAAAAAAAAAATTATCCCGATCCGCTCACACATTTTTGAGCCACCCTATAGAAGTTAAAATATTTTCTTCAAATACATCCTCGTACATACTTTAGGTTTACACTTAAACAAAATTCTCAAGTTTTTTTATTCTAGGAGCTACAGATGCCCGACGCACTTTTGCCAGACCCTGTATATTTCTTCTTTTTCTCTAAACTTCTTAACAAAAACTTCTAACGCTCTAACTTCAAAATATGCAGATTCCCTTCATAAAAATCCCATGATAGCCCTCCTAATCTCGCTAAGAACTACTTCCAAACACAGCGCGATCTTATCCTAAGACAGAAAATTTGACAATATCCCAACGATAATTTGATTTATAGCTTCTGGAGGGGGCGGGGGGACGTTCTAGGGGAAGGCGGGGTCGCCAGAGGACGGCAATAAACCAGGAGAGACGGGAGCATTATCGAACTTTTCGCTGGATGGTGAATTGTGTGAGTGGAATAAATTTCGAGGTTATTAAATATGGTGACACAGTGAGAGACGACAATGTCTCTATTCGTAGAGTGACGCTGTTTAAGATAACGAGATTATGGTATAGATGGCGCTATACTTTAC